CTCGGGGGCAGCGTCTTCCGACGGTACCGAGTCAGCCAAACGTTCAAGCGCCGAGTAAAGCCTCTTACAGCCAGCGTAGATCTGGAGAAATTACAATATATTTGTTGAGATGGCCAACTACATGTTACTACACACGGTTTTCTTCCAACGAACCTTCATCACAGGCGAAACAGATACGAGAATGACGAGTAGAGATCTGCAAATGGAATTAGTTAGTCTTTGATCAGCTCGAAGAGTACGTGTACATTTTACATGAGCAAGTAGTGCGAGCTCGGATGGTGTAGGTTTTCCAGCTACTCTTCCAATTTGAAAATGAAGGTGTTTGCTGCTTGAATTCGCGCGCGAATCTCCCGCCTAACAACCCCTGAAGATCTTCGAACTTCAATTTGAATTTTGTCTCTACTTCGAGGTAGCGTCTATGTCGATAGCGAATTGAAACGGTTTTTTTTAAATCAGTTGCCAGATAAAGGTCGGATTAAGTGCGTGATAAAAACGTTTTATGCGAAGTTTGATTTGACCAAACTTTGGTCAAATCAAAAAATGCTGTTTTTATTCCGAAGTTTAATAACGAGTTTTATGAGAGGCGACCTTTCGATTAAATTTTTTTAGAAGGGTTGTGGAAGGTGGATGAAGATAAAAAAAAACTCATTTTGAACCGGTAATGCGATGTCGTGGTTTGCCTTCGGGTCGGATGCAGGATCATTAAAATAATAAGAAAGAAGTTATGCACTACGACTTACAGCGCATTCAAACAGTCTTGTCCACTTCCGCTGGGAAATCCAGCCATCAATTGCCGTTTGTCTTGCGTGCTGGGATGCCTGGGCTTTATTTAATAAGCCTACATGTACCTCAGCGCATTCCAGCTGAACGACTCCAAATCCACGCCAAACACTCTTTTCGTCGACGGAGCAAGTCGACCACGTCAAGGACGTCACGCCTGCCAAACGTTTCTCTGCAGCAAAGCTGACGAAGCAGAAATCTGAAGCGGTGGGCGCGACGCTACAGTGGTGCAAAACGGTCTACAGCGCATATAGTGCGCAACCGGCAACAACTTCATCGCGCCGGCATTGATATAGGAGGCACAGTGCCTGTCAACCAAGCGCCATCCTCGTTATTAAGCGTCGACTCTGTCCTTCCGCCCACTTAGCAGTCTTGAGGCAGAAACGCGATGGAATTGAATTAATCCAGAATTGCGACGATGAGAATAATAACTGGACAGCGATCGGCACCATTGGGATCACGGCCTCGGGCCACGCGTGTGGCGCAGCGGACGATACAATCGCTCGAGTGGTCAGCCTCATAGCAACGCCACGTACGCCAATTCACGTCCCATCGGCAGGCGTAATTACTTCCACATAGAAATTCTCATGCACGCCACAAACTCAAATCTGAGAAACCAAAAAGATTCGCTCTTCCGCCAATCAGCGAGTTTTATGAGCCCAACATTTTCATCATTGGCCAGAGTTTTTGTCGACGACAACAACACAGCAGCAAAGAACAAGCACATGGTTCTGCTTGGTGCCGTAGTTCAACCAAGCGCTCAGCGCGGCCGCCGCCACCTTTTTCATTCTTCGTTTCGCCTTCGAGCGTCCGTGTTCCCAAGCCTAATCAAGTCCCCAAGCCCCCACACAAACTTCTGCCATGCCTAACCTTCTGAAGGACCTCGTCTCGATGGTGTCGCCCCAGTTCAAGCGTCCGATGCAGTCGCCCTCTACCACGAACCGCCTCTCACCTACCAAGCAGAACGTGACTTCTGGCTCCTTCGCCGATCTCGCAGCCCGGAGGGAGAACGTCAACGCGGGTGTGACCGTGGAGCAGCAGCAAGAACAAGCCAAGATGGATTCCTTCATCTTCTTTAACATGATGCGGTAGGAAGCCCCGTCCACTGGCCTCGTCAGGGAGGCTACGACTGCGGCTGTGACTGCCCCGGTTCGACCGACTCAACCAAAACAACTCAGTACTATACTTTATACATGTAACTATGGCGGGGATTAAATCCTGTCTGCATCTGCGCCGCCCCTTTGGGGTAGCATACCAATAAATCATTTTTCCAGTTCTCGTGCCTTGCACGGGAGCTCTCTTGCTTCTTGAGCATGCGCCTAGTTGCATTTTGCGTTGGCATCTTCGTCTCAAACACAAACTGTTCCTACTAGTGAGATGCTTCAGATCTAGTTTCGCTAGTTTAAAGAGCCGCTTTCGGTCGGAGCTACTACTATAGTAGATCATCACCAAATTTAGCAGGTATGAGCGGGTTGATCGTTGTTTGATCTGCTGCAAAGGCTGTTAAACGAAGCAGCGGTGACCAGCAACGTTTACTCGTGTTTGTGCAACGCAGTAATTGATGCCTCATGATGCTACTCGAAGTGTCTGAAGTACCAGTCCTCTAGCCTTTCACAACCTCGATCTCGAAAATAAGGTCGGAATTGCCGGGGATGTCGGGTCCCGCGCCCTCGCGGCCGTAGCCAAGACGAGACGGAATGGTGATCGTGCGCTTGCTGCCAACACGCATACCCTCGATACCAATGTCCATGCCCTTGATCACATCACCGATGCCGTGACGGAATGTGAACGGCTTCTTGCGGTTCTGATTAGCGTCAAACTGCTTGCCGTTCATCAGACGGCCACGGTACAGGATGCCCACCTTGCGACCACGCTGCACGGGACGGCCCTTGCCCACAGCACTGCAATAGCATAAACAAGATCACAACGTTAGAGCGAGACCGTCATCACATGCAGTTGGCTCCAATTCAACTTACATGTCCTCGATGGTGACGCCCTTGTGCACACGCGTAGCGATCTTGGCCTTCTTCGGAACTTCGACGGACTCCACCGGGGCCGCACGCTTCTTGCTCTTCAGGTTGGTAGCAGTAACCTCGGCAAGCTTTTCAGCAGTCTTCTTCTCCTTCTCGGCCTGCTTGACAGCCTTGGCTTTCTTCTTGGCTGCCTCTCTCTCCTCCTTAGCCTTTTTCGCAGCCTTCTTAGCAGCAGCCTCTTTCTTTGATTCTTTATTAATCTCCTCCTTAATCTCCGTCTTCACCTCTTTCTTGGGCGACTTTTTCTTGGCATCAGACTCGTTGTGAAGACGCTCCTCGAGCACCTCAAAGCGGTTCTTCTTGTTCTCGTCATTCAGCTCCTCCTCCTCTTCTTCATTCTCGTCGACATCACCACCGCTCGAGTCGCTGTCACCACCGAACACCATCATTTCTTCCTCATCATCGCCCAAATCGTCAAAATCGTGTTCGTCGCCGCTGTCTTCCTCGTTTTCCACCTCGATGAATCCCGTGAGATGGATGGAGTTCGGGCCGTCCACCACGAACTCGATCTCGCCGTCCATTGGTGTGAAGGTTTGCGTCAAGTTCCACTGCTCGGCCACCTCGGGCGTCAACGTGCACAGCGCAATCTTGGACGTCTTGGCCACGACGGACAGCGTGGAGCGGCCCTTGGTCGCATCGGCACCGAGCGCGGCAGAATTCAGCTGCATGCAAAAATCCTCGACCTCGTTCGGCCACTTAAGCGGGTGGCCAGGCCTCACCACGTGGCCGAAGAACCCGGGCACGGGCGCCACCTCGGCGGGTGCAGACTTCTTGCCCATTTTGCACAATTACTTGTGAGCTCGTCCAGGTTTGGCAGTGATTGGCGGAGCGAGCATCAAAATAGTCGGTTACCGGTATTTTGTCGGTGTTCTAGAAAAAGGTAA